CCCTTAGGTTAGAGGCCATCGTCCTCAGGTTAGAGGCCATCGCCCTTTGGTTAGAGGCCACCCAGACTTCCCACTCACTGGTTTCACCGACTGGAGACTGGAGGAAGCACGTGAAACTTGCTAATTGCGACTTGCTTATTCTTGTCCGTTCTCAAGGCCGAACGAAGTTGGTATTGGATGACGAAACCAAGATCCACAGCGTCTCACAAGAGCTCACTATGAAACTGACTATTCCGGGTTCTTAATCAAAACTAGCTAATTAAGTCCTTTTGACACTCTTGGAACCTGGGAGATGACTCATTGAGAAGCAGACCGTTGGAGCCCGAAGGAACCCGAAGACCCGACATCTCACTCGGTCGCCTTCGGGCGGATCGCAGGACGTCACGGATGAGACCTGTCGACCCGGCGCGGACTGGCGCAAAGCACCCAAAGGGCCTCCAACCTAATAGCATTCTTGTTCCTAGTAGCGATGCCCTTGTTTCTAATAGCTTCTTGTTACTACTAGTGAGGCACTTGTTACTAGAAGCGATGCACTTGTTCCTAGTAGCATTCTTGTTCCTAATAGCAAACATTGCTCCTAGTAGTAAGGCCAGGAGCTACCAGTAGCGATGCCCTTGTTACTAATAGCGATGGCCTCCAGCCTAATAGCGGTGGTGACGGCGGTTGCACTAAACAACTTCCAACACCTCAAATCAAGTGTCTCAATGTGCCTCACACTTTTGCTCGAGAACGGAGCATAGAACGCCTCAGTGCCCTCGAAGCAACTCTAAAATGTTTTCAAAGACTTCGTGCACAAACGGCGCTGCCCTTTCGCCCTGCTTTCGCCCTTTCGCAATCTTCTGTGCCTCGTAGGAGGGTTCGGTTGCAGCACCCTCCTCGTGGTGTAAGTAGTTAAACTTATTCTCAAAGTCCTGAGACGCGGGCGACGGGCGCGCCACGCACATCCCACGAGCGCCAAAAGCGCCACGGCAGCTTCCTCCCCATGGGTCGAGCATTGACACCAAATCCTTGGATCCTTGACATACATCATCACACCGAATGAACCCTCTGTTGGATTCTTTTTAACCCCATACCCATGTGGAAACAACCCAAACCCCAAACTCGTCGCAAAAATGAATCTCTCACAACGAGTCCAACCAAGTCTCCGTCGGCACGTGCTCTGCGAAAATGGCGAGGTTCGTCTCCGCGGCGCCTTGGATCTTGAAGAGACTCACCTCAGAGGCCATCGCTAGTGGGTTGGAGGCCATCGCCCTTAGGTTGGAGGCCATCACTATTGGGTTGGAGGCCATCGCTCTTTGGTTGGAGGCCATTGCTATTAGGTTGGAGGCCATCGCCATTAGGCTGGAGGCCATCGCTCTTAGGCTGGAGGCCATCGCTAGTAGTAGGTTGGAGGCCATCGCCCTTAGCTTGGAGGCCATCTTTGGTTGGAGGCCATCGCTATTAGGTTGGAGGCCATCGCTCCCATCGCTCTTAGGTTGGAGGCCATCGCTATTAGGTCGGAAGCCATCGCTCTTAGGTTGGAGGCCATCGCTCTTAGGTTGGTGGCCATCGCTCTTAGGTTGGTGGCCATCGGAAGTAGGTAGACTCCTGATGAGGTCATCCACGGTCGGTTGATTGATTTTCGCATTGGGCAGTTGCAGCTATTGATGTGTCAAAGCAGCGAAGCCTCCAGGCATGCAGTCCATAGGCGATCTCAAGAGTTGAAACAGTCTGACCCAACTGAGCAACAAATTGGTCTTCCGCAAATGATATCCAATCTGTAACCGACTCCTACTTCTAATGAAACCTCTTCTTCATGGCAGGTTTCCACAAACACTACCTGGCCCGACGTCGTCCAGGTCGCCCAGTTGTCGGCGTCATAGACCAAGCGATACGCGTTGTTCGGGCCTCAAACGGTCATTTCCAAAAGCAGATGTGCTTGATGTTACGAGGACCACTGACCATCAACGACCCATGAAATGACTCAAATTGTTTGATCCCTAGATACGCTAGTATACCGCTATGTCACGATGTTCTATAATTCGGCCGAGCCTGAGTCCGGCTCTGACCCGGTGGCTGTTCCTCACGTGAACGACGTGTTCGGTCCGAGGTCCCGGGCTCAGGGTGTCGCCCGGCATGACGTCGGTGAAGGTCCCCGACCAGGCGGTGAGCGCCGCCTGAGCAGACTCACGACCACCGACAAAGTCCTGCTACCACGCTTTCCGGATCCGATCAAAGCCAATCTGGGAGAGGCGCGAAAGTTGCACAAATTCCGAACGACCGAAAATCCACTTCTGTGGAACGGCTGAACTGTTTGTCCCACTCCTCCCAAACCGATCCCTCGGCACCGGCTCGGCGCTCTCGATGGCGCTGGCGTCGTAGGTTGACGTGGTGCGCAAGATGATCTTCGTGGACGCCTGGCTGAAGGGATCGAAAACACAAAACATGTCTTTTTTGCCCGCTCTAGGTTGGAGGCCATCGCTAGTACTACATAAGGGGAAAGCCGGGGAAAGCTCCTAGCTATCAATTACATCTTTTTTGCGTTGTATTCCTTGGATTTTTGCCTTTTTAGACCTCCTGCGAACTAGGCCAAGTCTATAAGGAAAACCAAGGGCACCTGGATCCGATGAGTTCCATGTGTCTAGGGTGGAAACGGATTCGGCACATGGTTTGCCGAAGGGCCATGAACCGCACGGGACCAACATGAAGACTCCTAGTAGCGTCCCTGCTCCTAGAAGCGATGCCCTTTGCTACTAGTAGCGTTCTTGGTCCTAGTAGGAAGGCCAGGAGCCCCTAGTTGCGTCCTATGCTCAGAGTGGATCCTTCCAAAACCGCATTTTGCAGGTGAGCTGACTGTATTTCCCTTCCAACTGGGCAGTTGGGCCGCGGCATAGGCGCCGTCCTTCTTCTCAGCCTCGGCGCAACGAGCCACCGGAAGACGAGCAACCGTTACACATCTCTAGCCTAGTAACAAGAAGCCTTACTACTAGGAGCAAGGACGCTACTAGGGGCTTCTGGCCGTACTACTAGGAGCAAGAACGCCATTAGGGGCTTCTGGCCGTACTACTAGGAGCAAGAACGCCATCAGGGGCTCCTGGCCTTGCTACTAGGAGCAAGGACGCTACTAGGGGCTTCTGGCCGTACTACTAGGAGCAAGAACGCCATTAGGGGCTTCTGGCCGTACTACTAGGAGCAAGAACGCCATTAGGGGCTTCTGGCCGTACTACTAGGAGCAAGGACGCTACTAGGGGCTTCTGGCCGT